ACACATTCACGTGTAGCACAACATCATGACAGTGTCCCTGGCATTTTTCCCATTCTTTTATTGTCTCTTCTCAACAAGAATCATTGGAAGATGGTTTGAAAAATCAATTATTACAAATGTTTTTGGGTATAAACAAATGTGAATCAAACCTCCAAATTCTATGATCTACAAGCCTAGGTTCTGGTGAAAACTTTTATTATTCTTGAGGTTCTTGTTCTAAACATGGTAGACAGGCAATAGCTTTCTGTCCTTCAAGTCACACTTTTTGACGAGTAGGCTAAATCTGTTAAGAATTCTCAGCCTAAGCGCTGGTTTTCTACTTTCTTGAGTAACTCGACTTTGCTCCCCCAAAATCAAACTAATACATTAAAGGAACAGAATCTATTGATAGCACATTGTAATCCCAGGGCACAGTTTAAGAAGACAAGTAATTTCCTTTTTTTTTCTGTGCTGTCATATACTGACCTTTTCTTCATTATATTGTGCATATTCTTTGGTATATCGTTTTAACAACTCTGCCTTCAGCTCTTCTGCTTTGGGAAATGCAATTTCCTTTAACTTCTGAGATACAAAACAGAAATTGAGAATGAGAACAATTCTAATGCCAGTTAAATAGAGAAAAAAGAAGAAAAACTGTAAAAGAAGTAGTATCTCAAAGAAGGCCTTACAATACCCTCTACTGTATCATACTTGCTGCTTCATAACTATTTGGGTGAGGCAATCTTAGCTCCTATGGCAGAATTTGATGCTCAGATGCAGACAGTTACTTTTATCTTAGTTTGTACTGCTCTGAGGCTTTTTGATGGCCAACAGTGAAAATGAAGACCCACCTTTACAGTATCTTTCTTTTCAGGAATGATAGCCGATTTGTAATCTCGATGCTTTGGTAGTTTCTCAATGAAGAGCCTAAGGAAACAGATCACAGTAATTATGACGCAAAAAAACTGTCCAAATATTCCCAAGACCCTGAAGCAATGCATATCCTTTTTTTTTCTTTTTGGAGACAGGGTCTCTCTTTGTATTTCAGGTGAGCCTTGAACTCATAGGCTGCCTCAGCCTCCTGTGTGCTAGGACTACAGGTGTGTCCACACTATAGTTGTGCCCAGCTTCAATGCACCACCTTTATTCTGTGGCTTCTGGAGGTGCGGGGAAGAGAGAACAGGCATACTCAGGCACATAAAGTTGCCTAACCATCTCCATCCCTGGAAAAAGCAGCAAGCTTTTTCCTCCTCTTCCAAATCAGGTGTGTGGCAGCAGAAACTAGACTCCTACAATCAAAAGGATGGCAAAAGAAATAAAACAAAAGCCTATTCTGCACCCAAAAATGTACCATCAAAGAAAGAGATTCTTTCCTTGTTGTGACATGACAGGCTTTCAAAGAAGGCCTGGGTGTCTGTCTCAAAATATTCTTCACTGGGTACTTTGGCAGCCAGGTGTAAGAGGCTAAAAGAAAACCATATCATTATTACTTTCATAACCTTTAATGCTGACATTTTTTTCTTGGGATTCATATTCCTTCATAGAAAAACACTCCTTTATATCAAAGCAAGTATGTAAATGCTTAGATACAGCATGTGTTATATAAGCATATACTATATGCATATTATATGTATAGTATGCATTACAATATTTGATGAAAAGTGCTTAAACATCAGATGCTAGATTTTTTCGTTTAGCTTTTCAACTTGGCTAGAAAGCTCAGTGGAGAAAATAAATGGCATCATTTAGAGCTCTCAAAGATTTGCGGTATCTACTTAGGAACAATGAAAACAATTACAAGTCCAGTGATCAGTCATACCAAGAAAGTGGCAGACTCAATTTCAGCACCAGCAGGCAGGCTCTGGAGGGCAGTTTTCTAACCACTACACCATACTGCCTCCACAAGGCCCTTGAAATGTCTGGAATGTAGATGACTTTAACAGAATTAATTGTAATATGTACAAACTGAGATCCAAAACAAATAAATTGAGGGCAGCTTGCCCATAATATTAAATGCTGTCCTGCAGTTGCAATAAACTCTTCTCTACCTTCTGCACATGGAGTAGGAGTACAGAGAGGAGGAAGCCTCAGCAAGGAAAGAGAAGACGATCCCTCATCCAAACAAACCTCTGTAGATAAACCCTTCCCTTTCAGTTCTATATTAGGCACATGAAACTTTCATTTCAATCCAGTATGACCAGGTTCCTCAAGCAGGGATGAATTCTAAACTTAAAACTGTTCTAAAAATCTTCCCTTTGGATTAATAAAAAAGTCTTCTCATAGTCTATATTTAAAGTAAATACACATTCATTAGTTCAAATCATAAAATTCCAAGAGGCTATTAAGATAAAGCCTAGTTCTTACACTTTAGAGATTTATAACTTAGTAGCTCTCCCAATTTGGCCCCAAAGACCAAGTTACATATTTTCTCCCTTCAGCAGGCTGCTTGGTATTGAGGCCTAAATTAGCCACAAGAGCACCACATCACACAAATACCACACATTCTGCTCACTTATGCTCTCATTACTGAACTGCACTCCTCTGGTCAGGGATTGCTGTGTTTCATGCTTCTCTGTAAAATCCACTGTATAACACATGCCTTGTATAAAGAGGCAGTCAATAAACAGCTGATGAATGAAATGGTCTTATAACCCCTGAATTGGTTTCATGAAAAAATAAAGTATAAAAAAGTGTAGATTGTATGCTACTTTATGTAAAAGAATGAGGTAATACACATGTATGTATGTATGTATATAAAGAAACGCAGAAAGTATATAGAGAAACTTTGTAAGTAGAAGGCAGGGGAAATACAGTAGATGACAGAAGAGTCGAGTGAAACTTTTCACCATATACTTGTAAATACACTATTTTGATTTCAGGTAATTGGAAGCCAGTGTTTAAGTAAAGATAAAACTCCCAGGCCTGTAGATGAACACCTTCCCCTTATTTCAGCCACTGCAGTAAATTTTCTGAACCAGGGTGAACAGGGAGAAAGGCCCCTTGCAAACAGACAACAGGCAACATAACCACTAAACTTACTGGATGGCACAGCACTTATAGAGGCTGGGTCTGGAGCATTCTGCTGGGTTCAGATCCTGGCTTTGCCATTTACTAGTTCTGTGACCTTAGGTAAGCACTTAATCTCACCATCTATCAATTTACACACAGGAATTATATAAAACTTGGTGTAGTGATGCACATCTGTAATCCCAACACTCAGAAGGCTAGGGCAGGAGAACTGCCACAAGTTCAAGGTCAGCCTTGGCTACATAGTGAGTTCAAGAGTACCCTGGAATACATAGCAAAACCTTATCTCAAAAACCAAGCAAGCAAACAAACAGAAATTATATCCTTTTTTTTTTTTGGTTTATCTCCGGTACCGGGAACCGAACTCACGACCTTGCGCTTGCCAGGCAGGCGCTTTTGCCGCTGAGCTAAATCCCCAGCCCCAAAACAGAAATTATATACATGGAAAAACTAATACTACCTGCTAGGGTTGCTAGCACAGGTAATAAAAGAGGTAATAAAAGTGCTGAGCACAGTGCCTAGCATAGTCAGTATCTGTTATTTGCTTGTATGATTGTTTTTACTAGCAAACAGACGAACAGTGTGAACAAGAATAAGCAGAAAGATGCACACTAAAGCTGGAAACTTTCTAGGCACAGAGTAGAAATGGACCAAAGCAAACAAAGATACACTGACAAAAACACAAGCAAAACAGCTGAGTAGAGCAATGGAAAAGAATAGCTATGGAAAAATAAGTACACAAGGTGAAAAAAATGTAAGAAATGGTGCTCAGCTTCACGCAGGATGAAAGAAATTCAAACTAAGATATCATTTTCATCCATCAGACTGGCTAGAGATTGAAGGTTGGTTATACTTGGTACATACATAAGGGCATAGGGAAATGGGTCTTCATACACTGTGAGCAGAACTTTAAATTGATATAACTTTTTTTCTTAGGGGAGGGAAATGATGGGAGAAAATTATTCAAAACTTAAAATGTAAACACCTTTTAAATTCATAGTCCTACCACTAGGAGCTTATTATACAGTAATACAAAGATATACACATACATATATATGACTACTCAATACAAAATTATTCATAAGATCATTTGCCAACAGGCAGGGAATCAAGACAGGGTGGGAGAGAACAGGAAGGAGAAGGGAAGGAAAGAGAATTAAGATGCATTATATACATGTTCCAACTCCCCATGATGTACCTAAGTATACTGCAAACACATGTTAAAATTTTTAAAATTTAAAAAGTACTTATAAAAGTAGGGAAAATGACTAAAATATCTATCAATATGAGATAATAAATTATGGAATACTCAAATGTGAAAACAATGTAATCATTCTCTTTTCCACACAAAAAATATTTATTAAGCATTTCCTATGGGGTAAAGCATTATTCTAAAGGCTGCACAGTGAGTGACCTAGCAAAAACTTTCTCCCCACCATAGCACACACATTACCATGGGGAAACAGACAATATACAGAACAAAATGTAAGTCTGAGAATCAGTGGTAGGTGAGTCATTATTAATAGGGAAGGGGTTTGGAAAATAATAGGGGAGGGTAGTAAAATTTTAGATAAGGGGATCTAAGAAAGGGACCAGAAAGAAGGTGGCATTTCAGTAAGGGCTAGAAGGAGAAAGCCATAAAAAGATCTGTAAGACTGTTCAAGGCAGGATGAATAACCCTAAATGAGATGGCCGAGCACCTCATCATAGGGAAGAGTAATACTCTTAAGAACAAATCGAGTTACAGAACAGAATACAAAGTATGATGACATACATGTCTCAAAGAGAAAGAGGCATGAATGTCATGCACACACACTGTCTTGTACACATAGGAAACATGACAATGGTCACTTCTGGTGGATGAGACTTCTCTTTTATATCTTCCTTGTCATGTTTGAAAAACCATTTTTTTCTAATCATGAATTTTGCATAAAAACAACTCAGTCAAAAAAAATTAAGCAGAAATTTTGTAATGTGGATAAATTAAGGACCCTTGTCCTATCTATTTCTCCTAGTCTTAAAAGTTTACCAGCAAAGTAAGCACACTCACAGATGAACCCTTCTTCAGTGAATAGACCCCAACCCCAGGAAACATTTCAACATAGGTGACAGTTCATTTTCAGAAAGAGGATTTGTGTTAAGAAGACTCACACAGCAGGCAAGAATTGCGGGAATACTCTAGTCCTTCCGTGTAGCCTAGCTGATGACCATAAAAAGCTGTGAAAGAATCCACTGCCTGGTTTATTGTCTTTGCTCATTGTCAAAATATGTACTGATTTAATATGTTGAAGATCTTTCTTCTATACTGGGGTCTGCAAAAGGCAAAGCATTCCTACACAAGGAAAGCACTATGGGGGGAGATGTGCCTGAGATCATTAAGATGCCTGAAATGCCCCAGGAGAAAGGACAGACTGCCTTCTAAATCCTGAATTAAAGCACCCACAAAAGGTGCACAGCAAGGATTCTCAATAGAGGGCAAGCAGAGGAACGGTGAGGGTAGATGCCTAATCTCCTCTCTTCTCAGCTGTAGTAGCTGGCAAAGTGAGCTGCTGTCACTGATAGGAATATGCCAAGTAAAGTACAGCAGAAAAACAAGCGGAGAATCTCTGAGCTAGAACTTCTTTATGAATCCTGTGGTTGTTAGCTTACAGAATCAAAATTACTGTCTTGAAAGCAGCTACAAGAAAAGTGCAGGTAGCTACATTTATTGCTTTAGGCCAAGCCAACCCAATGAAGTCCCAAATAAAATCCCAAATCCAACAATTCCAGTAAATTTCTCCCTTCCCTAACTCTCCTCCAGGTCTAGTTTGTCATATTAAATGGTCCTATAAATGGAACACCTATATGAGGTCAGACTCCCTGCATTAGTTTTTCTGTTAACACTGGCAATTATCTGTGTC